ATAAATTTGAATTTAGTATATTTAATGTTATATTTTATGTATAATACTTACAATAAGTATTTTTACAGTCGAATTCTGACAAACAAAATTATTAACGATAATGCATTTAACTATTAAAGTTTTTATGAAAAATGTTAGGGTCTGGAACATAAATTTATAATAACAGAAAATCGTAATGAAATAATAGCACAAATTTATAATAAAATGTTTTTATACAAAGTATACATATTAGTTATAATATAGAGATAAAAACCGCCACAAAACCATTGCTTGGACACATTGGCAGTAAATATCTTTATAATTATTTGATTGGTATTTTAATATTTCTTTATAAATATTATGACATTTTGATCCTTTGATGAAAAATCCATTTCATTTATCAAAGTAATATCTATCTTTTGTTAATAACAACACATTTCCTTATTTTCGTGAAAAACTACTGTTTCTAGGATAATTTTTTACTACACTTTTTGCTCAACATATCAATCTTTGCGCTATATAATGTAGAAAATCTGACTCGAATGTCTTGGATAACTTTATGTCTAAACTTACATAATTAAAACGACTTTTATTCTTTGCCAACGAGACAAATATACGTGGGAAAGCTTAAGTTTTGGCTTTTCTCATATTTCCTGAAGGCATTGAATTTTTTTGTGCCCTTTTTAAAACAATGATTAAAATAGAATGTCGGCAACGACCGTTTTAGAACATGGCCAACAAAAAATAAAACAAAAGGAGTACTTCTCAACTAGGATTCGGAATACTTGGTGTTGCAACATTTTCAACGATGTAAGGATGCCTCAGATATATTTCTCTGCATAAAAATGAAACTCAGTAAAATAAACCTACTCCATTAGGCAATGGTGAACTTTTTTAATGCATTAGAACCTAAAATCATCGCGGAGTCGACGCGTTTAGACAGAAAATATAAAAATATATAACGAGAAAAATGGTCTCTTTTAAATCAAAATCTGTTAAATTCGACAAAGTAATTTTTCTGTACATTATAATACAATTATTGTAAAAAATTGAATCAGTTTTAACAACCAACCACGAATGATTTTTACAAAGATTGGGATCTAAATTTGTACCAATGATTTTGAACTTTCTCTTTACTTAAATCAAAGATGCTCGGAATTTTACATTCTTTATGCTTTTTAACCATGAAGACTTGCATCTTAGATCTTAATGCTTATTTAAAATAGTTTCTAAGCGTTTATCTGATATCAATGGATAGTTAATTCTACTTTCGGCATAATGCTTAGTACAAATTTTAGTTCAAAAATTGTGATTTTTGATATTACACTTAAATTTGTGTTCTGTTTAAGTCTACGTTTGGCAATCTTATTGCTTTTGTATTTAAACGCTTTCTAAACCTAAAATAACACCTTTTTGCAAAAAAAAAAAAAATATATATATATATATATATATGTTAAGTGCTCTTTATCTATGGGAATTAGCCGGTTTAGTTCATTTTTGGTCAGGACAAACGTGTATACTGAATTGGCATCCTGCGAGAAAAACTTGTCACGTGAAGAAAGTTAAAGATATATCACAATACTATTTTAAAATGTGTGTTGGTTCAATGTATACTTGAATAAATGAGGAGTGGTCAGGTTAGATGTGTGCCAGAAAAACAACGTTTTCATTAATGTGCCGACGTTTCGACCTTTTTCGGATCATCTTCAAGGCCTCGGTATACAAACATTGAATAATGATTTCGTATGAAACATTCTATATACGTTTTTATATAATTTTGGTATCCTGAATGTAATAAAATGCCTATAGGATTATGGGATTATATTAAATTAAAATCGTGCTTTATTGATGGATTAATAATTATTTTTCTTGAAAATTACGAGATAAGAAAAGTACAAAAACATATCTACATTAATATGTATTGTTTCTTCTTTTATTTTTACTTTTAATTTAGGTTTTCTGAAATTTGATTCAAAAGAAACTACGAAGAAACCTAAAGTTAGTAGTTATCCACTAACCTAAACATTTTTCAAAAACGCCGGCACCCCAGTGTTCAAATAATCTTGTAGTTGAAATACACTCTTTAAAAAAATTAAACAGCACCCTTTAAAGTATCTAATTTAAATTAGGTAAGTAGTAAGAATTTTTGTAAATTTTTAGATCTATTTCATTAGGATTTATAGTACTTTTAGTCATTTTTCTTAGCTGTAGTGCGTTTCTGTACATTTTGTTCACCCAAAACTCACGGGTTTGGGTAAATACCAAGTTTATTATAACATCATTCAGTTTCATTGTAAAACAAATAATCAGACACAGATACAGACCGATCAAAAAGCTAGCTAAGGGGTTGGAGTACAATTTACATTGTCAATGCCATTTTGCGGAAGTTCAACCCCAGTTAATATCGGCATTTTCGCTTTTTAATTAATTATTTGTTTATATTTTTACATTCGCGATCGTCGAGGCGGTCACCTCTTGGCTCAGTGTCCTGGAGCATTGTTTTTTCCTCCTTTCCTCTATCGTCGAACTTTGACGAGGGCGGCTGAAAGGCGAATTTTGTGTATTTTATCCCCTTTTTCTCCAAATTTTCTCCAAATTAAAAACCGTTTCCACCGTTGAATTCAGTGTTACAAACCCTTTTTAAAGATGCATATTGGTGATTGGAATAATTATTTTTCAAATTTCGTTTTTCCATCGAGTCCACTGCTGGTTAACGTACATAAAGGCAGACAACAAGGACAGTTCCAACTAAATAAACTGACATGCATATACAGGGTGAGTTCAACTTTTGTTTCCCCCCTATATTTTTTATTGGGCGGTTTTCTGAAAAACCCTGCAATAACGATTTTGTAGTTTTTGCAAAAAAAGTTTTGCTCTAACTCTCCAGGATTAAGAAATACGTATGGTAATTTAACTTGACTATTTCAAATTGCTAAGTACTCATCAATGCGCATTTTAAAAAGTGATTTTGACGCAAAATTCAACGGTGGAAGCGGTTTTTCATTAGGAGCAACCGTTTTTAAGTTAATTGCAAAAAACGTTTTTCGAACACTTCCTTATTTATCATTTTAATTGATAGTTAAATTAATTACACATGGAACGGAAAGAAAATTTTTGCAACGATTTCCCCAATTAACTTTGATGAACAGGACGCTGGAGTAGCTTCTTAAAGCACGATTCTGTCTGGTGCAAATTTCGGTCCACTCCAAGAGCAGAATCATTCTTCTTTTTCTTGAAATGTACGAGACATTTTTACGAACTGCGTAATAATTCGAAGAACAGAAAAACTAAATTTTAGTGTTATTATTAAAAAGTTTCAAAGGCCAACAAATCAACTTTTATTTACGATCTGTTTGTTAAACATTAATTTCTTCAAGTTTCTATTTGTGGACGGAAATTTACACTAAGTTGAATCGCTACTTCCAGAGCGATATATTAATCGTTGATATTTGAGGAAATGGTTCGGAGAATTTCTTTCTGTACCAAGAGAAAGTAATTTATAATCAATTAAAATGATCATTCATTGGTCTTCTCCAATGGTTCTCATTGGTTGAAAGAGTTGAAGAAGATTTTGTGTTTCTGATAAACAGTTTGGGAAATGTTTTGTAGCGCTCCAAATTAAAAACCGTTTCTACCGTTGAATTCAATGTTACAAACCCTTTTTAAAAATGCACATTGGTGATTAGAATAATTGAAATAGTTAAATTTCTATTAGTACCACGTTTTCCAGAAGTGTTTTGGAGCTGTTTGTTCATGAGCAACTAGTGAAAAATTAAAACTTTACTTGCCGCTGGATTTTTCCCAAAATCGACGCAATAAAAAAATATAGGGTGGAACAAAAGTCAAATTCACCCTGTATTCAGCAAAACTGCTAACCATCAAGATTCATCAATTGAAATTTGTTTTAAAAGAAAAAACTAAATAAAAGAAGTGGTCGTAACCCTTTCATACTCACGTAGTGCATTGCAAAGTACGAAAGAACATCAAATTTAATTTTCTCCATCGTCTGAAGATCGCTTATACTGGATATAAGCGAAAATACATTAAGCTTATATGGATAAAAAGGCTTACGGATATAGAAGGAAGCATAAAAGCAGATGGGCTAAAGAGTCAAGAGATACCGGCCTTATATATTAAAATATTGTCACGGCAAAGGACATGGTGGCAAAAGGAAGTACGAAGGATGGACATATACTGTAAATAACTGAGGACAAAGGGAAAATTCCACCGGTTAAATACAACCATGCATCCAAAAAGCTTTCAAAAAAGAACTTCAACGACAGATCAAGATGGCATTTTAAACATAACTTCCTCTCGGCGAACATGTAGGGGATCGTGATCATAGAATCAAGATGGCAAATGTCTTACCGGAGCCGTCGGGGACTCCAACCACACGATGCTAAAGTGCCCAGCTCTGACGAACGACATAGAAGAAACACGGACTGCGGTTACTGTGAATCTTTTCTAGTCAATAATTTGTTGACAATGTATGTTATATGTATGGCTAATCTTAAAGGAAATCAAAAATCAATCATTCAAAACCGCCACTGAAGATAGCTGAAAGGCGTCTGACAGGCCAAAATAGAGAGGATTCGCAGACCGAAAACTACTAAACTACAGGTCATCACCCATCCACCAACAACTTAATCGACCTACCTTAATCACGCAATACTTATTGGCTCATCAGCCTAAATGTTTTGGACTGTCAAAAATAAAAAATGAAATAAAAGAGAAGATGCACGAAAATAAGTACAAATTGTAACATCATTATTTTAGTGTGATGAATAAATGAGTAAAAAAATTCGGTCTGTTTCAGTTCTTAGTGATTTTTTTATGTTTATATGGTAGCTTTTTAAGTTTACATGTTTTGTCTCTCAATCATTTTTAACATACTGTTTCCAATAAAAGGACACGAATTAAGTTGTTTATTTGAATCTGCTATATTATATATTATGTAATTCATTTTTACCATCCTAACTGAAAAACCTTTATGTAATCTGGATACGGAAATATTCACTCACCAGGTCGTCGGCCAGTATGAAGACGATGTTGGGCTTCTGCGAGGCGAAGACCAAGCCGAAAAGAGAAGAGAATAGGCACAATTCGACGTTCATGGTCCTCTTTCGAAGCCGGCGCGGGTGCGTCTGTTTTCGCTTTTTCCCCCACGGCGTGCGGGTCATCCTTCGCCCGTGTGTAAGCTCATTTCCACATGTTTTTTCAACTGGAATCGTTCTGTACGTCATGGCCATGGCTACTACGCGTTTTAACCGACTGAATTTTAATGAATCGAGTTTTAAAAAATGGAACGAAACGGTCGGAAGTGCATGAGGTAATTTAGATTTAGATATTTATTTTATTAACAATTACACTTTTTGACTTGTTAGTCAATACATATATATGAATTTTTTTAAATAATGTACTCATCCAAATAAAAATCATTAGTCCTTCGAATAATAAAAATATATAAATTATTAAAACTTTGATGCCCAACGCAGGTAAGATAATGTTAAAAACGAGCAAAATATCCAAAAAAATATGATTCTTGACTGGATGTGAAGGATTGTGTATGTACATGGGAAAAATACCAGTTTCTTGAGTTTTGAGATTACCTCGTTTAAACAAAATAAACAAATTTAACAAATTATTTTCAATATTAGGTGTCACCAGTTTCTTTAGTTTTGGGATTACCTCGTTTAAACAAAATAAACAAATTTAACAAATTATTTTCAATATTAGGTGTCACCAGTTTCTTTAGTTTTGGGATTACCTCGTTTAAACAAAATAAACAAATTTAACAAATTATTTTCAATATTAGGTGTCACCAGTTTCTTTAGTTTTGGGATTACCTCGTTTAAACAAAATAAACAAATTTAACAAATTATTTTCAATATTAGGTGTCACCCGTTTCTTGAGTTTTGAGATTACCTCGTTTTAACAAAATTAACAAAATTTAACAAATTATTTTAAATATTAGGTGTCAATGATGTACTAATCCAAATAAAAATCATTAGTCCTTAGAATAACAAAAAACATATAAATTATTCAACCTTTGCTGCCCACCTCAGGTACGATAATCTTAAAAACTTGAGCAAAATATCAAAAAAAAACATGATTCTTGACTAGATGTGAAGGATTGTGTATGTGCATGGAAAAAACACCAGTTTCTTGAGTTTTGAGATTACATCGTTCTAACAAAATTAACAAATTTAACAAATTATTTTCAATATTAGGTGTCACCCGTTTCTTGAGTTTTGAGATTACCTCGTTTTAACAAAATTAACAAATTTAACAATTTTTTTTAAATATTAGGGGTCAATGATGTACTAATCCAAATAAAAATCATTAGTCCTTAGAATAACAAAAAACATATAAATTATTCAACCTTTGTTGCCCACCTCAGGTACGATAATCTTAAAAACTTGAGCAAAATATATTAAAAAAAAAAAAAAACATGATTCTTGACTAGATGTGAAGGATTGTGTATGTACATGGAAAAAATACCAGTTTCTTGAGTTTTGAGATTACATCGTTCTAACAAAATTATTTTAAATATTAGGTGTCAATAGTTAAGTTTAAGTTTGCAACATATAAAGTAAATAGCATTTTTCTCCCAAAGTAATTGTGCCAACCGGTCTCCCTCTCTCGAAATTACTTCCATCAGGCCTTGCTGATTAGTTTTAAGAGCTTTTCGGCGGTATCAGTCTTCTAGGTCTATTAACGTTTCCTTTCAAGAAGCCGAGCTTTGTATTCATCCGGGAAATCAAATGTTTGTCCTCCAAAATCGAAATTTCCACTCGCATTTTTCTTTTCAGACTTTTATGAACAAATTTCGTTCCGTGTCTGTCTGCCTGTCTGTGATCAATTCCTTGTAACAGACAAAACTCCGAAATCAGGAGACCATTTTTATGAAATGTTCAGAATGTGCGGGTCGGGTTTCTATTTGGTACCCTTTGAATTTAATAACAATCGGCTCAACGGTATTGCCTGCGCGTAAAGTAAAATACCGTACAAATCAATATTTTTGAAACCATTGTAAATTTTGATGAAATTTGCAGGGATTATGCTACTTGGGTTCCAAACAGTCCCCTATGAATTTCATCGTATCATATCAACGGTATCGTCTGTTCATGAGCAAAAGTAAAATACCTATCACAGCTATATCTCCGAAACAAATTTGTCGGATTCTTAGGTAATTTTTAGGGATTATGCGGGTTGCTTTCTAAATGATTCCCTATGAAGTTTACCACAAATGGATTAACATCAACGGCTGTGCATGCATAAAATGTTAGGAAGTTATAATTTTCACCCACCTGGTAGAATTTTTTTAAATTGGCAATTATTTTCACTAGTTAGCGATTTGTGTTTTATTTACTTAGTTGAACGTCATGGGGGGGGGAACGAAATGTACACTTTGCCTTTAAAGCAATGAACAATGTCAGCTTAATATTAAGGATTGATAACATTAAAAAAGAAAGTATTGATAACCTTCACCGTGTTGTATAAGTGCAAAATATTAAACAAAAATATCCCGTTGTTGTAAATCTAACAACTTTTAAGTTTTTTGGTTTTCAAAATTAGCTCGATATTTCGATAAAATATTAATTTGTATCGTTCAGACCAAAATAAGAAATAAACAAGTAAATTTTCCAGAAGGAAAAGTAAAGCTTTTGGAGTTATTTAACGAAATATGGGGTGCGGGATATTATCCTGAAAACTGGAGGGAGTCGGTCGTGATACCCATTGCCAAGCCGGGTAAAGATCCTAGCCTCCCAGAAAATTACAGACCTATTTCTCTAACATCATGTCTCAGCAAGACATTGGAAGCCATAATTAACAAAAGGTTAAATTGGTTTATTGAGAAAAAAGGTCTGTACAGTCCATACCAGGCTGGGTTTAGAAAGCACTTTTGCTCTGAAGATCATGTAGCGCTCCTTGAAAGTGCTATTCAGAACACTTTCTTGGAGAGAGAGCATGCTTTAGCTGTCTTCTTCGACCTGGAAAAAGCATACGATACGACCTGGAGATTTGGTATTCTTAAGAAACTCTATGATTGGGGTTTAAGAGGGAACACAGCTAAATTTTTAAAAAGCTTCCTCGAAATGAGGAGATTCCGGGTGAGATTAGGTACCGCCTTATCTAGTACGTTCATTCAAGAAAACGGGATTCCTCAGGGTTCGGTTCTGAGTGTCACTTTATTTGCCATTGCGGTAAACGGTCTTGCTGATAATATAGATGATCGTATAGTCAGGCCTTTATATGTCGATGATCTTTGCTTTTACTTGTCTGGGAAAAATCTCCAAAACGTAGGAAGGACTTTACAAAACGCCATTGACACATTGTCACGAAAAGCAGATGATGTAGGTTTCAAATTCTCTTTGTCCAAAACGGTATTTGTACACTTTTGTAGACTGNTATTATTATTATTAGCCATACAAGCCTACGGGGAATTTTTAAATTATGGAACAAAATTCACAATTCTAATTAAAAAAAGAAACAGAAATAAATTTTATAAATTTATTAAATTTTATGCAATTTAAAATGGGAATTTTGTATGCATTTGGCCTTCCGAATTAAGAATTTTAAAAAGAAAAATTAAAGCTTGGATGGCAATAGGATAAATAAGATTACGAGTGAATGTTTGGAGTCAGAGCTTTATAGCACTCAGAAGAGATATAGCTAACCTAAGATAGAAGGTTTGGATGTTAGGGCGTGAAATGACCTTAGCCGTTAAAACGCCCTTAAAAATTAATAATAATAATAATAATAATAACAAGTAAATTTTTTAAAACTGTAACAGAATGTTTCATTCATTCAGTATATTTTACAGAGCGTAAAAGGTGGGAGGGAGAAAGAGTCTGACAGGCAAAAAGAATAATGTAGCCAGAAAGAGAAAAAAAAATAATAGAAGTTAATCCAAGTTAGTTGTAATTAATGTGTTGAACATGACAAACGTAAGAAAATAAAAATAGAGATAGTGAAAAAAGAAAGAGAAAGAAATAGAAAGATAGATAGAGGTAGATATATTGATTGATATATATAGACATATTGATAGATACATAGACTGATGAATGGAGATAATAGATAGATAAATAGAGATAACTACATAGATTGGTAGGTAGAGGTAAATAGATAGAGATAGATTTATACAAAGAGATAGATAAGGGAGTGAAAAAGGAGTGAACAAATAGGAGAGAGAGAGAGAGAAAAANAGCAAAAATAAATAGAGGGAGAGAGAGAAATAGAGTGTGTGTGTGTGTGTGAGAGAGAGAGAGTGTGAAAAATGAGAGAGGGAGGAGAGTGATAGTTTGAAAGAAAGATAAATAAATAGAGAGTGAGAGGGTAGAGAGAGGGGATGTGATAACTCCATAGCTTGCCAAAAAACCGAGTGTTTTTCTATTATTTCAAATTGGCTTAATCCCTGTTTTTTGTACAAAACTACAAGGAAACAAGGCCAAAATTATTTATAAAAAATGTTTTCCGTGAACGGCTTCAAACGGCAAAAATACATAACACAATTGTTTTCTGACAGTTTTTCTCTCATTTATTTCACTTTAAATTTTTGTTTTTTAATGAACGGTTGTTTAGTTTTGGTTGAAACGTTCAAAATTGTTTTTACTTCTGATGCGGGAACATTGGAATCCTTTTTGTTATACACAAAACTGTGACCAAATTTAGAAAATGTCAAGGGCACTTTTATTTTTGTTAAATTCAATTGATAATCCATTCAAACTTCATTTTTATCTACTATCTATTTCTTTTATTACCTTCTAAAGAACTTACTCGAACTGGGATCCTTGGCAGAAAGGACAAAAAGATATAGGTTAAATTTTTAGCATATTTATGAATAGATATTTTTAGCAAGCTACGTCCAATTCCGTTGCATTGTGTTTATTATTTTTTCTGGTTATCATTTATTATTATTGAATTGATGAACGTGAAGGTGATGTCGGTTTAGACAAAAGATATTTTCTTTGATAGGGAAAGGACGATGTGGAAGGACGGCAAAGTTATACTTTTAACTAATACAATCAACGCGAAGTTTCAACCATATTAAGTCTTACCTCGTTAGAGCGTACCTGCGTAAGTGTGCTGTAAGTGTTACCTCAAAGCGTCTTAAGAATAATTAATTCCATTAGGAAATAATTATGTTAACAGCATAATAATCAGCAAA